GCTTTAATATGTCCTTTATACTAATACTAACAGTCATGAAGTACTTAAACACTTTGTTATCTGTTATAAATAACTTTTATTAAATTGCAAAATAAATATTTACATAAAAATAATAAATTTTCTTAATCATCGTCATCAACTTTTCCCTTGTTATATCGACTACCTGTTTTAAATAGGTATTGTCTCTCGTACGGAAAATAAAAAAATATATCTTCATATATTTTTTCGTCGATAATTTTTTTATATGGTTCTATTTTTTCATTGAAATCACTTATTGAGATTTCATGGAACCTAATTAGTGGGATAATATCTTCTAACGATATTTTTAATTTTTTGAAATCATCATCGGCCCACTCGGAAAAATTTTTTGAAGATGATTCTTCATCTTGTCCTATTCCCCATTGAATGACATAACTCCAAATATTAATTTCCTCTAATGTCAAATCATCTCTTTTCAATATCGATACAAGCATCGACTTTTCGAGTATTGCAATATCATTAGACTTCAAAAAATATTCTGGTTCTTCTTTAATCAGTTTATTACAAAGGTCTTGAAGCAAACTGAGCAATTGGCGTTTTGATGAAATTTCATGAACACGGTTTAAATTTCGGTGAAGCCATTCATTTTTCCTTTTGATTAGATGGTTTTGCAAATAACCAAGTAATTCATGTATGAGTAATTCGTCACATGCTACGAGAAGATCGATGATGACTTCCACCTCCGTTTCTAATCCGTCAATCATTGTATAGTCGGAGAAATAGCTATTGAAGTGTCGTCAATACGGCGTGAGTATTGATATTAATAAATATTTATTTATCAACAGATAATAATAAAACTAATTCTTACACTAAAAGAAGTGCAAATATATCTGGGGAAATGTTTTTTTTTTCGAATAAAATAGTTCCATCTTCAGATCTTTTTGCCCAATTTTCCGATAAAGCTACATTAAAATATAGAGATCTTGCTTTTAAAATTGTAGACTGAGCTTTGAAGGTTTCAATTTCTTCTTCATCTCCCACCATAATTTCTACGTCAGCCTCCTCGTCACTCAATGGTCTAATATGCCACCTTAAGTTTAAAAGGTGATCTCGAACAATGGTTTTATTATAACTGTTAAAAGCATTCTCTGCGTCATGTCTATTTTCGAACTCTACGAAGGCGATTCTAAGATCAACCAAATAAATGTTTATGAATATTACTATTATTAATTTTTTGACTTGGAAAGTTTTTTTTTGATAATTACCTTCCTCTATTATTATTATTATTATTATTATTATTATTATTATTATTATTGACAACATCCACACTTCTCAAACGCCCATATTTTTTAAACATATTATTCACATCATGTCGAAAAAATGAAGGTGGCATATTTCTAACACAAATAGTTGTAGTAGATGATGTAGATGATTCATAATATCTATCTTCGTCTGTCGATGGTCTTCTTTTCCTTTTACCCTTAGCATTTCTTCTAGATGATAATTTACTATCGATAACAAAAAATAATTAAGATAAATAACAGATAATAGTAATTAGAAGGTAGAATAGAAGAAACTAACCTTCTGCCCATAATAACAATTTTTATCAAGGAAAAATTATATGCAAAAGAAACCTTAACCAATCCAATTAACAATTAGCTAACGAAGTTTGGGAATTAAATTAATCTTCGCCCCAAGAAAATAAAAAAAGCAAAGTGAGATTTTATGAAATGAGCTAACATTTGCTAATATTAAATATTTAAATATTAATGAATGGGAATAAAATTTTAAACATGCACATTAATAAATCGAGAAATTCCGGATAAGATAATTACACAATTTGGTGCATCAAAATATTGTTCTAGCGGCGTACATGCAGCAATCAAATTAATTTTTACGACTGGTGAATTACATGACACTAATTTATTATGAACATTTCGAATTGATTATTATTTAATTTAAATCAATTTCAAAACGTTCGTTGCAGAGTATAGTTCGTGTTCGCATGCCTTTGGGTAAGCGTGCGATTATGGAATGTATTTTAAGCATCTTTCTTAAAAAAAGACCTTGAGTTCTTGAAGAATGTGATGCAATGAGAATTCATGATGACTTGAGTGACAGGATTGTGAACTTTTAAAATTGCATTTGGGTTCTTTTTTTATGAAAGACCTAGACTATTGATACGGTGCCAATGATAACCTTTATAATTTTATGTACAAAAAGAATATATTTACTTGGACTTGATAAACAGTTGACCTAATTCTGTAATTGTTATTGTAATTAAAGGTTATAAAATCATCTTAACTGTTAAAATCACCTAATAGCTTAGTTGCAGAATTTTTTTGTTGGAACTAGTGTAATAGCACAGGGTAGATTTCGTCAGTGCAGAAAGCTCTATATATAATAATAGTAGGATTTTAAATATCATGTGATCCATTCATCAAAAGTTTATAAAAATACCACCACCAAACTTGGCTTTAAAAGAGGAATTGTCACAATTTTTACTTTGCTGATTTTTCTTAATTTATAATTTTCACCCAAATTGTTTTTATATATATTTAAAAAAAAAATGCTGTTACACGAAAGCACATTCTTCCGGAAATTTCTAGAGAGATTTCCCTAAAAAAGTCATGATATAAAATGGTAAATTTTAATAGTGTTAAAAAAAATGTTACTTGTATAAAAATCATGAAAATTGATTGGGACCTCAATATCACTTAGGAGTTTATGGGGTCCTTTTCAATCCCTTAAACAGTATTAGTATTGCACGAGTAAAAAAATATATATTCTGTACCTTCTGAACGCTTATTCTCCGGTGTGGGAAATCATATAACATCACGAAGAAATAAATTATCTCATGATGTTATTCTAAAGTATTATTTTTGTAAAGAAATTCAAATAATATTTCCGTTTTTAATAATTAAAAAATTTTTTATTTTTTTTACGAATAAGTATTTTTCTATGGATTTATGAATTTCATGAATTCGGATTTCGTTCTCATTAATGGACTATATATGCATGTTGTAAATTGATTAAATTGATTGGCAATAAATTATTTTATATATGAAATAACCAGTGAATTCAATGAGACCACAACTACTATTGTAGAGTTTACTTTTTATATTAAATTAATCTTGAAGTTAATAATAATCTTATTTTGTTTACACATGACACGAATTATCCACTCGTTCTTGTGATCTTTGATGAATTGATCCAAGTCTTTTTCTTGTTGCTCATTGCAATTTCATGTAAAAATTGTTGGAACTAGACTAGTCACATCATAGAAATTTCTATAATACTCCAAATTTAAGAATTAAAAATTTTAATTCGCTGTTTTATAACACGATCACTTCTTTTTTAATATTAATATTTTTATTTCGATTTCCCGGATTGTATTTTTGGAGAAATACATATCATGTATTTATCACTTATTATTATTACTACTATTACGATTAGATTATCCTGGGACGTGGTCATCTATTACTATATAAAATATTACGAAAATTTGAAAACCTGCAATTTCTTTGTTGTGTTTTGTTGCAGTATGCCCCATATATTAATATAAATTATTATACTGTATGTAAATCTAAAAACCAATGCACAGAAGGATGCCTGTTTTGCATTATGTATATATTGAAATATAATTACTTTCAAAACACGTAATACATATTAAAATTATTGTGTCGATCAAGATAAGTTTATTTCGCGTTTTTTATAAAAAAAAAACAAGTTATTCAGACATGTCATTAAATAAAAATGCAAAAATACCAAAAAAGTTTGGCTCTAAAGCAGAAAACGTTTCTAAGAGAACAGTGCAGGTTTAAGAAAAATTCAGTTATATATACATATATTTAATAAGAAAAAATTTGTAAATTTTTTATAGATCTTTCAATAACATATTATTAATCTTTTTATTTGCATAGTCTCATCAAGAAAATAATAGAAAAAAACCAAAAATATTTGGTGAAAATTTTTTTTATTAGTTTGTTAATATAAATTTATAAATCTATTTATTAAATAATCAATATGCACCTATATCTAGATCTTAAACCATTTGAAGAGGAAGATCATGGGTTTGTATTTGTTAGAAAACGAAAGCTTGACGAGTTTGTCAATAAACAATCCCAAACTCAACTTTCCGAGGTATATAGTATCAATTATATAATTAGATACAGAGACAATCCTATTCTTTTTTTTTTGCATCACAAATAAATAACAAAACTTTTAATGGTCATTTATTTACGTATATATATCTACTTATATATAAATTATCGTAGAAAAATCATAATGTGGAAACACAATCAAAAGTGTCAAAGTATAACTATGGACATTTTACCCAAGGTGAAAACTCAAATTCATCCAATCAATCACATGAAATTCAAACTTTTAAGGTAAAATAAAAAAATTATCAAATGTTAATTAATTCACAAATAATTTATTATCATAATTATTATCATTATTATAGTCAAAATCACACTTTGAAAGGCAGCAAATTATGGATTTAGAAGAAGAAAACGAAGAAATTTCTAGTGTGGAAGATAGTATCAACAGTTCACCTGTAAATATGGAGCACACAGTTACTTTTACACTACCATATGAATCTTTGGAGTTTGTTAGACCTAGAGATTCCCTAGAAAAAAATCGAAGAACAAGCGAAAAAAGAGGGAAGAGGAGAGCATCGTCTGTCCGAGATGGATTTTTAGGTTGGAATAATTATAATTAGGATTAATTTATTATTTATTAATTTATTTAATATATTGGCTAATATATATTTAATGAATAGTGGAACCTCATCCTGATATAAAGACTGAAGATTTCTATCGTCATATTCAACCTGAATTGCCTAATCCGGTAAGATTGAAACAGCTTTTAATGTGGTGCGCACAAAGAACTCTTGGAACTCAAAAACATGAAAATGAAAAGGTTTTAAACATAGGTATTGTTTTTTTAATATATTTGATTTGTAAATTATTAAAAGGTTGTTTGTTATACATTTCTAATTAGATTTTTTTAAAAAAAAAAATTATAAATCAGTAAAGAAAGTTCAAAAAGATGTAATAAGAGATTTGTCTGAAAACATAATTAGTACATCTTGGTATCAAAATGCATGTATTAAAACCTTGCTTATTTTTTTTTTCAAATTTAATTTGTAATCTTTCAATTCTTTATTAATCTGTTTTTCATAATGTATGCAGAGTGAATGTGTTGGCAATGATGATGTTGTACCAAAAAAATTACATCCAGAAAATGAAAAAAATAAAACAAAATTAGAAGCATTAAAAAAAACATTAGAAAGGTAATTTAGAAAAAATTTTTTTGTAATGATTTAAATTATCTATACGCCATTGCTGCTCAACTCAAATAAATAATTTTTTTTATAAAAATTAATTAATTAATTATTGTTGAAGGTTGAATAAGGAAGAAGCAGAATGGGATAGATTAGTTTCAGAATTGAATTCTCTTTATGATTCAGTTTCAAACTCCGATCAGAACCCTTCAGATTACAACAATGTAATGCTTGATGAAATAGACTTTACTATATTACCAGAACAGCAATTAAAATTTTTAAAAGATGATGATCCAAGTGAGAAAAAACAATTGGAGTTTTTGGAGGAAATGTCTAAATCATTGGAAATTAATGTATTTATTAATAAATTTTTAAAAATAAACAAAGATTTATTTATTTTGAGTGATTTGCAATTTATTTTTAATTTGTTTAATTGTTTAGGTTGATCGATTTTACCATATTTTATATAATTTATCACAATTTAATACAGCAGCTGGAATATATTGTAAAGATTTACTAAAAAAACTTGGAGAAATTTCTAATAAAAGTGTTGAAGAACATATAGATTTATTAAGGGCAATATCAATTATTAATAAATAAAGTTAGTAGATAATAATTTTTGTAATTTTCAAGTCTACCCACACTTCAGAAATGTGAGAGTGAAATAATTGGTGGCAATAAATTAAATTGTTATTTCGAAAGTACATGAATTTCAGAGTTCTTTTATATATATTGAATAATTAGCAGCAATTTATCTGTAAAAAGTAGGAAAACCTATAATATTGATAATGTTATCGATGAATACTGATTTTATCCAGGAATCGCATATGAAAAAGAATGAAGCTATTACTATATAGCATGATAAAATCATGTTTGTGTCACAACAAATAATACAGTCAGTCAACCCACCACCCCTAGACTGTGCATTTATAGAAAGTATTTATTGGTTGCACGTGACACTAATAAAAAATATCTTTAAATTATATTGTTATTTAAGTTCTAAAATAGATTTCTGAATATATATAGTTATTGAGTCTTAGCATTTTAAAGATTGACTGTTTTTGATGCCTTTTAGATGATCTGCATCATAATCATGCATCCTTCATATAAATATAAATATATTTATCAATTTGTAGTTATTTTAGCAACAAGCAATATTACACAACTTGTGAA